ACGTCCACCCCACAACCCCTCCCCATTCTTCGGTTGGGATTTTGGGCACTGGTGTGTGCACCCCAACATGTCTGCACCCTCTGCAGCCCCCGCACCTCTGCCGCAGTGTCTGCAGCCTGCGGTTTCCTTCCTTCATTCTGCGCCCTGACTCCCAAGGCTAGGTGGCAGGTCTCTGGAGGAGGGGACTGTGCTCTCCTAGCTGCCCGCCCTGTCGTGAAGGACAGGTGGGTGCAGGGATGGGTTAGTGACACCCCGATCTAACGCAAACGCCCCTCCACACGGCATGTGGGTATTCCCTCGACGTCGCGTGTTCGTGGCTTTGCCGACCCCACAGCCGTCACCGGCCTTCCTTGGCAGACTCCAAGACCCCACGGCTCGCGCTGAGATTTCGTGGGAGTGTGGGCTGTGCCGTGGCCTCTGGGCAGAGCCATCCTCCAAGTGTGTGCACCCTCCCATCAGGTCCCTCCAGAGCAGTGGTTCCGCTCAGGGTCCGGCTGAGCCTCCCTCCCTGGTGCTGTGAAGAGGAAGCCTCTTCCTCGAGAGTGGATGCTGCTCGTCATGGGCACCTCAGAGTCTGCCTTTGTTTGTAAAAGCCTCTCGGGCACCTGACGACTGCCTTTAGTCTAAAACGTCTGGCGTGGCTGGGCAGGTGGACTTCTCCCTGCACACGCGTGACCACACCACCCCTGCCCCGTGCGCTCCACTTGCTGTCGCTCCAGGGAGCGCCCACCTCCCAGAATCGTGTGTCGGTGGCACGACCGGGACGTGCTGTTTGGGATGCACTGGAGGCGCCCCTGCCAGCAGTGCGTGCCTCCCTGTCGCAGTGGGAGTCCGGACGGCCCCCAGCTGTGGGGCTCGTGCCCGCAGAGAAGGCCAGCCTAACTATGCGGGCTGCATGTCTCTGAGAGATGGGACATCCGCCTGCTGCTCACATGCCATGCCTTCCCTCTAGCCACGTGAAGGCTCTTCGTGATGTTCTGGGCTGCTACTCGGGTTTGGGCCCCTTGGGTCGGCGGCTTCCGTGCAGTCTGCGTGCCCTTCGGGTCGGCGCTTCCGTGCAGTCTGCATGCCTCTCAGGTCGGCGCTTCCGTGCAGTCTGCGTGCCCCTCGGGTCGGCGCTTCCATGCAGTCTGCGTGCCCCTCGGGTCGGCGCTTCCGTGCAGTCTGGTGTGCTCAGGGCTGGTTCTGCAGGTGCTTTCTCTGCACCCACCACCTCCTTTTAGACGACGTGCGTGCTCTGCTCAGCTCCGGGCCGCCGGTGCACGCCCTCCTCTTACACAGGTACGCCGTCCCATTTGCCCACGTGCCAGGGTGCTCTCCCAGACGCTGCGGCTGCCACACCTAGAGAGACAGCTCCTCCTGTCCTCGTGCCTCCCTGTCCATGGGACCCGACCGAGCCGGCCGGCAGCACTGCCTCGTCCGGCCCTCTGCGGGCTGGCAGCTTGCCTCACTGGGTGCCGGCCGAGGGGCTCTGTGGAAGCTGGATTGAGTTGAACCAGGAGTGCATCCTCTCGGGCAGAGCCTTCGCAGTGTGCGTGCAGGGGCTCCGTCCTGCGGCCAGGCCCGTGCTCTGCCAGCCGGTGCCCCAGGGCCCTTGGAGCAGGCCACCCCACCCCCCAGGCACTCCCTCAGCCCTGCCGGACACTCGGGGCCATCTGCAGCCTCTGGTGCTGCTTGCTGTCCAGGCCTCTGCAGATCCGTGGCAGGTGACTGGACCTGCTGAGCCGCAGCTTCCCCGAGGGCCCTCACCCTGTGCTTCGTGCGGGTGTCCAGGCCGTGAGGTACTTATGGGAGAGGTCGTGGGACTTGGAGAGGTCGTGGACTCCTTGTACCCCTCAGTCCAGCCTGCTGGATTTTCTTAGGCTGCTCATGCAGTTGGTGTGGACACCATGGCCAATCTAAGATTTTGAAGATTTGTCATTTTTGTTTTTCTTTTTGCTTTTTTGAGAGTTTTTTGTTATAGGGCATGTGTGCTTGCTGGAGAAACGAGAGAGAGACAGGGAGACAGAAGGTGAGAAATCCCCCCCTGGGGGGGTGGCCACACCGCAGTCCTTTCTCCTCCATTCGCATGCCACTGGTGTGAGTTTTAAGCTGCCGGGTCCGAGACTCGAACCGTGGTTGACTACGTGGGAGTCTAGCGACATACCCGTCATGCCATCTGCTGGCCCCTGTGTTTAAGACGTAGGGCTATAGTGTCACTGAGGACTCTGTCGCGTTCGTGCTCCTTGCATGTACTGTGGGCCCAGGCCATCGGCTGAGGAGTCGGTCTTCCCGCCATGTCCTCAGCCTCTCCCAGCGACCGCTGGCTGCACGTGCCAGAGCTCGCTTGGGGCCCTGTGCCTCATCTTGCAGTCGGGCCCTCAGTTCCCATTCTCCTCTCTTTGCCAGTTCCACAGAATTCTGATGACGATTGCTTTCTAGCAATTTTAAAGCCAGGAAGGATGAGTCACCCAGCTCTGTTCTCTTACACAAAATGTTTGGTTATTCTGAGGCCCTGAGGTTTTATATGAATTTTAGGGTGGCCTTTTCTTTTTGTCTTTTCCTATAGAAAATGCCTTTGGTATACGCATATGTTCCTCTCGGCGCAAAGTGGGGCTCTGCACACTCAGGGCTCTGTGCTTGCCTTTGGTACACGCGTTCGTCCCTCAGCGCACAGTGGGGCTCTCTGCACACAGTGGGGCTCTCTGCGCACAGTGGGGTCTCCGCACACAGTGGGGCTCTGTGCTTGTCTTTGGTAGACACAGCGGGGCTCTGCACACTCAGGGCTCTATGCTTGCCTTTGGTACATGCATTAGTCCCCTCAGCGCACAGTGGGGCTCTGTCTCTGCACACTCAGGGCTCTGTGCTCTCTTCCAGCCGTTTCTGGTCTGTGAGCCCCTCCAGGTTAAGGGTGTTCTTGTTGCAGGAAAGCGGCCACCTAGGGAGGGAGAACAGCACCCGGAGAGATAGGAGAACTGTTTGCTACGTCAGCAGGCACGGAGGACTTCACACTGAGCCTGGCCTGGCTGAGAGTTGGACAGTCTTTTACGGGTGACTTGGGGAGGGGCAGTTTCAGCATGCTTGCAGTGTCCCATCAGGGAAGGGCTTAGAGTCTGCCCTACTACAGAGCTGGCAGAGTAGCAGGGTATCCAGCTTCAATCCAAGGCTCAGGGCCTCCGGCCACTCAGCAGTTCAAGGAAGGGGCAGCTAGCTCGCTGGGGCACAGAAAGCCCAGGCAGCCCTCAGCCCTGGGCTGCTTCAAGGTGGCCCACAAGTCCCAGGCTGCTCCATGTCATCCTCCCCCTTTACTCCCTGCCTTGTGGATGGAGGGTTCTGACTTCCCCAGCGCTCCGTGGACCAAGCAGTGGCGTGTGCGTGTTCCCCGTGCCCGGCACCTTCACTAGCCGGCTCACACGTGTTCCCCGTGCCCAGCGCCTTCACTAGCCAGCTCGCACGTGTTCCCCGTGCCCGGCACCTTCACTGTGTGTGGGGAGGTGCTTCTTCATGGTCTCTGAGATGCTGCATCCTGGTGTCTGCAGGTGGCGGAGTCCTCGAGTGGCCTTCCCCTGCGGAATGCCACCTCTCCTCTCCATTGCCTGACTGCTCGGGCCAGACCTGGGGCTCCTCACTGACCAGGTGACAAGGCACGCCTCTGTCATGTTCCTGATCCCAGGGGTAGACCGTCTGTCTCCACTGTCCCCCTCCATCAGCTGGGGCGTCTTCACATGTGGCTCTTGCCGTGTTGGGGAGGTCCCTGCCATCCGAGCTGCTCAGGGCTTTCATCCCTCGGATTGTCGTCTGCTGCTCCCAGCTCAATCGAGATGGCCAGGGCTTCCCGCCCTCGCTGCCACCGTCCTGGGTTTTCACGTGCCAAGTCCCCCTTGCATTAAGGGCTGACCCCACCTGGTCGTGGGCTGTGATCCCCACCCCTGTGCCGCCGGGTCCCTTGCTGTCCGGGCACAGCCTCTGCGTCAGCACTTGGGGATGCCCTGTGGTCTTGCTGAGGGACAGGGAGGAGCCCCTTGGCTGCACGGAGCCACGAGGAAGGCCGTGCTCCGAGTCGGCCCTGTCCGTCTGGGAAGGCGCCCGCCTCCCCACCGCACCAGCCCTGCACCAGGGATGACTCTGTTACGATGCTTACAAAACCGTTTTCCCGCTATGCGTTTTGTCTGGCTTGAGAAAGGGGCCGTGTCGCTTGTGGGTTTTGTTTTTGTTTTTACGGAGTGCCTGACCGTTCTACAATTCGCACCGTCTGTAATCTGACTTGGTCACCAGGCTCAGCAGGACTTGTTCGCTTTCCGCTGTGCCGAGGACTTGGCCAGGGGTAAGACAGAGACGAGCACCGGAGAGCCCTGCCCTCGAAGGAGTGTGAGGCGGTTGGCAGTTGCCCACTTAGGAGAGGAAGCGGGGACAGCACGTTGTGGGGTCTGTAGTCCTGTCCCAGGAGAGAGGTGCCCCGTGGTGACCGTCTGTTGGCCTCACTCGCTGCATCTCGATGTGGAGGATGTGTTGCAGGGTGGGCGGTAAAGGGGCCCAGGGGTCCTAGAAAGACCTTCAGACATCTGTGAGGGCCTCCCAGAAGTGCGCGGAGCATGGAGCTACAGCACGATGTCATTTGGGTACAGAATAATAGAAGCCCGCACACCACTCTTCCATGGCATGCCCTCCCACGGCTCCAAGAAGCCCGCGTGACTGGCTACTGCCTCGCACCTGCCGTCCGTCACTCTCCTAGGTCCCTCTGGCTCTGAGGGCTCCAGGGACCTCAGTGCCACAGGCCCTACACTGTCATGGTCTTCATGAGAGACGTGATGCGTCCCTGAGAGGCCTCCCCTCCTGACTTCTCAGCCACTGGCATTTCCAGGACCCGCTGTGCCTCCTCGCAGGATTCTGGCTCTTCTGTTGTTGGAAGAGCTGGGTAGGGGGAGCCAGGGCACTAGGGGGGCAGCGACAGGTCCCCATGTGCCCTCTCAGTGGCCGCGCATCCCGACAAGGGAGCGTTCTGCTAACAGGCCAGAGGCGTGGCCGCGGGCAGTGCCCTGCAGGCTGTCTGCGTCCCCTGTGTGTGACGTCCAGAAAGGACTGGTTATCCCTGAGCTCTCACCTTCGCCTCCGTGCGCCCAGCACTGCCCCTGACTAGCCGCTCTCCTTTGGTGAGCACGGAAGGCGGCTGCTTTGGCCAGCTGCCCCGGTCGCGTGCCCTCTAGGAGTGTCACATGTGTTCACTGTAAGGCGCAGCTTCACTGTGACTGCTTATGACAGGAGAGGCGCGATCGCTCCGTGGCATGGTGGCCCATCGTGTTACTCCTCGCCGGCTGCCAAGGGCGGAGACTGTCTGGTCCCTCTGGGGGATGCCTGTGGAGGGCCAAAGGCGCGGGAGCTCTGTCAAGGCCGCCTGCAGGTGACGCAGTGCAGCCGCGCTCTGTCCGCAGGAGGGGCTCCGGACCTTGTGTGTGGCCTATAAACGGCTGGACCCGGGCGAGTACGAGGGCGTCTGTAAGCTGCTGCAGGCCGCCAAGGTGGCGCTCCAGGACCGAGAGAAGAAGCTGGCGGAAGCCTACGAGCAGATCGAGCGGGATCTGATTCTGCTGGGTGCCACGGCCGTTGAGGACCGGTGAGCACACGCATGTGCCTCGTCCGGGACACGGGGAGTGCACATGAGCCACGGCTCCTGGGCGGGGGGACAAGCAGCCGGAACGCCTGTGCCAGTGTGCTCTCTGCGGGAGACGCTGGGCTCGCTGCTGGCCCTGTGTCAGCGGAGACGAACCGGGTGGCCTTCACCATCCGCTGATGGGTGGCCGAAGCCGCTCTGACCCGGAAAATGGTGAAATGGCGTTTTCACACCGTGTTGAAGATGGAGGGGTTTAAGGAGTGCCTACTGTCCAGGGCCCAGCCGTGGGAGTGCACAGGTGTCCCCGCATGGGTGCCTGGGGCAGCCACGCCCCTGTGACCCCAGCTCTGGGAACCCAGGCGGGGAAGGGCAGGGCTCAACGAGACCCCGGCAGGAACGCCCCTGTCCCTCTGCCTGTGGTGAGGGAGAGCAGCGGGGCGGAGTGGGTGGCAGCGCCACCGCCAGTTCGACGTCCCGCCTTCTCCATGTAGGGGCCGCTCCCGGAGTGGCACCTGCGTGCCAAGGAGGTAGAGAGAGGGAGGGACGTGCTGCCCACCGGTCCTGATCCTGGCCTAGTCGGCAGGGGGCTGGCCGCATGTGCCCGGGGCTCCCTGAGAAAGAGCTGCTTTGTGCCCCGGGCACTCGTGGCTGCTGGGACCGCCTGGTTAGAGGTGCCCTGACTCCCGTTTGGGAAGGGCACACTTACAGCGGCATGTGGCAGAAGACGGTCCCGCCCACCGCCCGTCACCCAGGTCCCACTTCCTGTGTGACGACTTCACTCTGGCTTCCTCGGGCCCACTTGTCTCTGCCTGCACTGCCCAGGTGGGGAGACCGGCACACAGGACGGGGGCGGCCGTGTCGGTGTTGGGATGGCGCCCACTCCTACCTGTCGTCCTAGGGCTTGCAGTGCAGTGGACGTCCAGGATCGGCAGCCAGGCCATGAGCCGGAGCTCTCGAACTTGAGGGGCTAAAACATTTTAAAAGTTTCCCAAGTCTCGGATTCTTTATTTTCTCTAGTTGATGCGTTGAGTCCTTCCATAAGAGAGGGAGACAGAGAATCGGGTACCGCACCGGCCCTGGGTGCCGTGACGCCGCTGCAGCCCCGGGTGGGCGGCGAGCGTGGGTACCCGGGACGTGAGCCCGCGTCCCGCCGCGATCCAGCGTCCCCGGGCCAGCTCGGTGGGACCACGCCGCCCTGACCCTGCTCGTGCCGTGCTCCGCCCAGGCTCCAGGAGAGGGCCGCGGACACCATCGAGGCGCTGCAGAAAGCCGGGATCAAGGTCTGGGTCCTCACCGGGGACAAGATGGAGACGGCCGCGGCCACCTGCTACGCCTAGTTCCGGGGCGGCACGCAGCTGCTGGAGCTCACCACCAAGAGGCTGGAGGAGCAGAGCCTGCATGATGTCCTGTTCGAGCTGAGCAAGACCGTCCTGCGCCACAGCGGGAGCCTCGCCAGGGACAACTCGGGGTAGGTGCGCCCGCCACCAAGGGGCCCCTGGGGTCCCACCGCTGTCTGCAGGCCTGGGCCACTGCCCCCGCTGGGAATGTGGTCCCGCGGTGGGGCCAGCATCGTTGGGGCCAAGTATGCGCTCAGAACAAGCCAGGAGCTGAGTCCCTTCAGCGGCGGTGACGTGTCTGCCGGGCATGTGTGTGCACGTGTGTGCGTGTGTGTGCGGGTTCAGCTGCCGGGTAAGGATGCCAGAACACGGGATATCAGTAGAGTGGTTCGAGCAGTCGTTCCTGTCTGCCAGAGGTCGGGAAGCGTTGGCAGCAGCTGTCTGTTCAGATGAAGCGGTTTATGCCGAGTGGAGCTTTCCAGCAATGCTCCACAGGTTATTCGGACCCGTGCTATCGGTGCTGTCCTGGCTGGGATGAGACGTGTTGTCTGAGATCAGGCTCAACGAGAATCATTCTGGGTTTTTGTTCACGGAGGTCAACCAGAAGCAGCCTCCTGAGCAGAGGCAGCGTCCAAGTGTACGCTCCCAACAGTAGCCTGGCCCCGGTGCTGCAGGGCTCTTCCCAGGGATGGAGGTGCCCCTTGTAATAGTGCAACTAGCAAAGAGAAAGGGATGGCCTTGTCTTACGACCTTGGGTCATCTGGGCAGGAAGCCATGAGGTCAGTGGCCGTACGGGGACAAGGTAGCCAGTGAGGCCTCCGTGTGGAGGAGACAGACCTCTTTAGACTGCAAGGTGAGTGCTCCCCGTCTTCAGGAATCCTGGGGATGACATGCGAACGCACAGCGAGATGCCTAAGCTCCCCTAGGTGAGTGGGGGCATGTCACGCTCATCACTGCCAAGATCGGGCTACAGAGACTCGCAGCATCTCTGGGGATCCAGAGACAATCCCTCAGAGGCTGTGGCTGATCTGCGTCCCCCCCGCAGGCTCTCGGCAGACCTGCAGGACTACGGCCTGATCATCGACGGAGCTGCGCTGTCTTTGGTCATGAAGCCCCGTGAGGACGGGAGTTCCGGCAACTACCGCGAGCTCTTCCTGGACATCTGCAGGAACTGCAGCGCCGTGCTGTGCTGCCGGATGGCGCCCCTGCAGAAGGCCCAGGTCAGCCCCGCCGCGGCCGTGGCCTCGAGCCGCATGGCTCTGTCCTCGGGTCTTAGCGCTCTACAAGGCAGCGCCTTCTAAAGCAGGCGCCGACGTGGGGCTTTGCTCGCCGCATGGGCGTGAAAGTTAGTGAGTGTTGCCGGGTCCGATGTCCACGCCTCGGTGTGGAGCCCAGAACCACGGCTGGCGTGGTTCTGTGGACAGGACCGTGTCCTGGTGGTTTGCCTGGAGGTGCTCTGCGGGAAGAAGAGGGAGTAGCATGTGTCCAGCCTTGTATGTGTGCCACCGGCACACACGTGTGTCCAGCACCGTGTGTGTGCCACTGACATGTATATGTCCAGCACCATGTGTGTGCCACCAACACACACGTGTCCAGCACCATGTGTGTGCCACCAACATGCATGTGTGTCCAGCACCATGTGTGCCACTGACACGCACGTGTCCAGCACCATGTGTGTACCAACATGTGTATGTGTCCAATACCACGTGTGTATCACGGACACGTGTCCAGCACCATGTGTGCACCACCGACACACAAGTGTGTCCACCATGTGTGCCACCAACACGCTAGTGGTGCAGCTTGGCTCCTGCCAGCCTTGTGAGGCCAGCAGTGGTTTTTTGGGTTTTGCGGTAGGGTACACGTACTTGCCAGGGAGCGAGAGACAGTGAAGGAAAACTCCCCACCAGGGAATGGCCACGCCGTGATCCCTTCTTCACCCTGGACATGTGCACACACATGCCTGCCGTGATCTTAAAGCCACCGGGGCCGGGCCATGTGCGGGTCCAGCGTAACGGGTTGAAAGTGCTGCTGAAGATGGCCGTTGGCTTCTAGTCAGGAGACCCCGGCTGCCACCCGCCCAGCTCCACCATGTTCTCATGGGTGTCTCTGACGTCCCAGCCCTGCAGGCGTCCCAGCCCTGTTTCTCCATGGGAGGCCACCTCCCCAAACCCCTCAGGCTAACCCGTGGGCCAGGTTCTCCGGCGTGGGCGAGCTCTGCGACCAGGTGCCAGGAGATGGTTGGTGGCACTGGCACGTGTCAGCGTGACCCAGGTGTCATGTCAGGGCCTTCCCTGCGAACCCTCCTGAGGGCCAGCCGGGGATGAAGTCAGTCACCCCTGGGGACACAGACGGCTCTCCCTTCTGCCCTCCCTGTGCTGCCTAACTCGGCCTCCAGGACGGCCTCCAGGACGACACCTCGGAGAGGAAAAAGCTCTCACCTGGCAGGAAGGTTTATGCCAAGTGTCGTCCCCTCCCTGTCCTGAGTAAGAGGGCGCCACGGTTTCCCCAGTCCTTCCCGCCCTGCGTCTTAAACCACTGCCGGAAGTGGGGAAGACTCTAGAGGAATGGGCTGAACACCGGGGAATATCTCCTGCACTCAGTCTTCAGATTGTATTTCACACACATGACAAATTTGTAAGTTACGATAACACTGGAGACAGCTAATTTATTAAGAGAGATGCTCGTGGGACTGGCAGTTGGCATAATGGCTGTCGCTGGACTCCCAAGTAGTCGACCACGGTTCAAGTCCCAGACCCAGCGCTTAAACTCACGCCGGGCACGTGTGCATGCATGCCCACTTTCTGTCTGTCTCTCTCTTTCTGGTGAGTGCACGCACCCTATAGCAAAAACCTCTCCAAAAAAAAAGATGCTTGATGTGGAGCAGCTCAGAGCAGTTGGAGTAGCGAAGCCACCTAACAGCACGCGGGGCCGTGTGCGCCCCGTAGATGCAAGTGTATCTCCCCAGGGTATTTGCATATACAGGAGCGACCAAAGACTGCTCTGTGTAGACCGTTTCTCTGTCAGGAAATTGTGCCTAGCAGCGTTTTGAACCCATGTCGTTATAAATTAGGTCTTACTACCGTTTTTACTATTTTGCTTTCTAATGTGAAAAAATGTCTGTGTTGAAAATTGGTTAAATGTGGTAAATTACCTGTAGACAAATGCTTTCTCATTTTCCAAAACTAAGTGTCTATCTTTATGAATTACTCAGGTAACAAATATCCTGAGCAGACATTAAGCGGAGAAGATAATTCTTGCATTTATTTCTTTTCCAGATTGTTAAATTGATCAAGTTTTCAAAAGAGCACCCTATTACGCTGGCCATCGGCGATGGTGCGAATGACGTCAGCATGATCCTGGAGGCCCACGTAGGCATAGGTGAGCGCGGCCCTGGAGCCAGTGGGCACAGGTGAGCGCGGCCCTGGAGCCAGTGGGCACAGGTGAGGCCGATCCAGAAAGCCCAGGTGGGCACAGGTGAGCAGTCCTAGTCTGGACCCAGACCTGGCCTTTCAGCTGGACAAAGGCCACCTCACCCTGGGCGTGGCACCGTCTGTGACTCAGTGGGTCTGAATGGGGCCACGCACAGTGACGGCTGCATCCCTCGTTCTCCTTGTCCCAGTGGCGCCCTCAGGGAGGAGGAGGGCCCACTAGCCCATCCCCTCATCCAACAGGCGTGATCGGGAAGGAGGGCCGCCAGGCTGCGAGGAACAGCGACTACGCGGTCCCCAAGTTCAAGCATTTGAAGAAGATGCTGCTGGTGCACGGGCACTTCTACTACATCCGCATCTCCGAGCTGGTGCAGTACTTCTTCTACAAGGTAGGCGGGGCCGCCCGCAGCGCTCGGGCCCTGGCGGCCTTTCCTCAACTCGCAGCAGTGGGGCGACAGGCTGCGCCCGGAGGGAAGCCCGGGTGCTTCTCACCACAGACTGCCCGCTGAGCCGCCAGGAGACGTGGGAGGCGTCGGAGGACGGGTGCAGCTGCGTAACTGCGTTTGTCCGCTCGCTCAGTGCTCTGGCCCTGTCCTTTCCCCGTCCCACCAGCTGTGTGGCCTTCCCGCCCCCGTGACGTAGTAGCGTCCCCCAAGGGCCAGAACACAGGCATCCGCACGCCTGCCCTCACTGACCTGGTAGAGCCCACACAGAGCCAGGCGTGCTGCTCCATGGGATATGGGTGCCCCCACCGCCGTGACGGTGACCGCCCCGCCCTGAGTCTGCAGTGGCCCCCCACCGCCGTGACGGTGACCGCTCTGTCCTGAGTCTGCAGCGGGTCCCCCACCGCCCTGTGATGGTGACCGCCCGTCCTGAGTCTGACGCCAGGTGTGTTACCTCTCGCCATGCCGTGGACTGACGGCCCGTGCCTTGTCTTTCAGAACGTCTGCTTCATTTTCCCTCAGTTTCTCTACCAGTTCTTCTGTGGCTTCTCACAGCAGGTCAGTCCCGGCCCCCTGCCTCTCGCCAGGGCGGATGGTGGCAGTGGGGAGGGCAGGCTTTGGGACCCTCCAGGGACAAGCAGCAAGCAGGTCGGATGTCCTCCGTCCCCCGCCGGACGTGGCACACCTGGCCTCCTGCTGCGTATCCCCTCCAGCTGCAGGCCGGTGAGGGGCCGGCCGTCCCGGGTTGGGTCCGCTAGCCTCAGAGAGCAGAGGTGCTCCCGCCCCGATGCGTGCGGGCCGGGTCCTTGGGGCCCTGCACGTGTGCGTGTGTGAGCAGCCCGTGTACAGGCTGGGGGGCCCCCCAG